AGCTGTATGCGATAGCATTGAATGAGTGTCCATGGTGAGATACTGTAGGCCTGTAGAGCATGATGGGTGCTCAGGAGTGTGAACATTTTAAGGACACCTTCTGGGTGTTAGGAAATTAAGTATTAATTTAAAGAAGCTGTTAACAAAGCTGTTGTAATTTTTTCCTCAGCCCAAATGCCTTTTTGTTTTGTATAAAAATTCTTTATTATATTCATTACCTGTTGACAGATGAACAGAATTGTTAAAAATAGCAAAACGTCTCTATTTCTGGCTTTGCTTGGGTAGGTCTTTCACAGGGATGTGTGGTAGTAGTTGCGTGTGAAGTGGCGAGCTGTGCAACAGTGGTGCTGGTGCAAACCTGAGGTGTGAAGCGTGTGTGGGAATGGGACTTGGCTGCAGCTCAAGGTTTAGAGTGTGAGGCTCACTTACAGGGCTCACAGGCTTAGCATGGGCAACAGGACATGATGGAGGGCAGGGATGGAGCTAAGAGAAGTTTTAAGTATTTGACCCCCAAACTGCAATGAACCCCATTGCTTCCCTACTGAAGGGAAGGAGAATGGAGTTGTTTGAGTGACAGCTGAGTAACTTTGGACAAGTCTCTTGGCCTCTCTACAGGGTTCTAGAAAGAGGCAGTTTCTAGTATCATTACTGTTAAGGGAATTAATGATACTATGCATATAAAATACTTTCACAATACTTGGGACTTGGCAAGTCCTCAGAAATTAAAGTTTCCAAACCCTTATGTCATTCCCAATTGAATTACTGCTGCATTTACCTTGAACGTTGGAGCCATACAAGTATCATTTACTTAGTATGCCATAATATCAGAAAGTTAGAAAGTAGCTATTATCTGGTCCTGTTGTAGTCACACCTGGATGCTCAGGGTTCAGTACCACCTTCCTCCTCACTCCATGCCATTTTCCAGTCTACTCTACAACTCTCTAGAGATCAAGTCCTAGGCCTCTTCCAAGATGGAGGAAGAGAATCTGTATTTTTGTTTGTTTGTTTGTTTGTTTGTAATAAATGGGAACTTTTAAACATAGGAAGATGGAGACAGTAATGAACTGGTCCCTACATACCTTAACCAGTTTCAACAACTACCAACTCAAGGCAATTTTTTTTAAAGATTTATTTATTTATTATGTATACAACATTCTGCCTCCATGTATGCCCGCACGCCAGAGGAGGGTGCCAGATCTCATTACAGGTGGTTGTCAGCCACCATGTGGTTACTGGGAATTGAACTCAGGACCTCTGGAAGAGCAGCCAGTGCTCTTAACCACTGAGCCATCTCTCCAACCCCCTCAAGGCAAATTTTATTTGATCTAAACGCCACCAACTTTCTCTTGTCCAAATTATTTAAAAGAAAATGTTGACATATTTTATCTGTCATTGTACATTTTTTTAAAAAAGATTTATCTTATTTTATTAGTATGGTTGTTTTACATATATGTGCATGCAGTGCCTGAGGAGGCCAGAAGAGGGCATCAAATTCCCAGGACCCAGAGTTATAGATGGCTGTAAGCCACCATGTGGGTGCTGGGAATAGAACCAGTTCCTTTGCTAGAACAACCAGTGCTATTAACTGCTGAGCTATCTCTCCCAGCCCCTCATTGTAGATTTCTAAAAGATAAGAACTCAAAACAAAAACAACCCCAAAACTCCCATAATACTGCTACCATTCTTTCCACTTAGAAACAAACCAACAAAAAAACTCCAGCAATGCTTTAAGATGAATGTCAACCCTATAATTTCTGGTTGCTTTCTAAATGGGCTTTTCACCAGACACCTTCACTCTAGCAGGACCTATTTCTAGTTTTTTCAAGAATTCTGCAGTGTAGGGCTTGGGCCACTTCTCTGGCTCTGCCCTCTGCAGCACACAGATTGTAGGCTCAGGCCAGCTTAGTTCCACACGTGCTGTTGTCCTTGGTGGTCATCCCATGGTAATTTAGTGTCTGGGGTCTTTTACTGCAGCTGGACTGCACTTTCAGCAAAGCCTCTCCTGGGCCCCTTCAGGGACTTCAGCCCTGCCCTGCAGTGCCAACCAAGCCTCATGATCTCTTCATTCTTTGTGGCTTCAGAAAACCAGTACCACCTGGATAACTTTTTTTTAACATTTTTAAAATTTATTTTATTTATATATATGTAGATACACACACACTTTCTAGGAGACAGTGCCAGATCTCATTACACATGGTTGTGAGCCACCATGTGGTTGCTGTGAATTGAACTCAAGACCTCTGCAAGAGCAGCCAATGCTCTTAACCTCTGAGCCATCTTTCCAGCCCCACCTGGATAACTCTTAAACTACCAAGTTCAGCTGGCAGCGCAAGGCACAACCTTGGCTACCTCTTGGACACAACTTCTGTGTACTAACTCTGAGGAAACACTTCTCACCACCTAAATGATACTGCTCTCTTAATCATAGCTAATGTCTCAGCTCCAGCTAACCAACATCCATTGTCCTAGCAAAGCAAAGATTTCGCTTCAGGGCTTCTGGTGGCTTGTTAATTGCAGCTGATCCTTCAGGCCCAGCTAATCAGAACCACAAATTCTTAACTCAAAATCTGCAGTGGCCTGATAGAGGCTTTTGAGTGACCCGCAAATGCCCCTCTGGAACATCACTAGTCAGGCCCCATCCTCTGCTTTTGAGAGTCTCTGGTTTTAAAAGAGACATTTGGTTTTTTCAGAAGAGACTAAACTTTTAAAGTGCTTGAATTTGTAAGACTGTGAGACTTTTTAAATTTATAAAATGTTTTCTAATTATGATTTCAATATTAATGTATGATCTTGGGGATGAATAAGTAAGGAAAGATTGTGGCTTAACAGTGATGTGTCTTAAAAGTGATTTGTATAAGTTGACAAGAGGTCAGTTGTGCTGGCTAGTTTTTTGTCAGTTTGACACAAACTATAGTCATTTGAGAGGAAGGAACCTCACTTGAGAAAATGCCTTCATAAGATTGGGCTGTAGGAAAGGCTGTTGGGCATTTTCTTAATTAGTGATTGATTTGGGGGGCCTAGCTCACTGGGGGTGGGGGTCTAAGAAAGCAAGTTGTCAAGCCATGTAATGGCTTAGAGTAATATAGTAAGCAGCACCCCTCCATGGCCTCTGCATCAACTTCTGCCTCTAGGTTTCTGCTCTATCTGAGTTCCTGTTCTGGCTTCCTTCAGTGGTGGACAATGATGTGGAAGTGTAAGCCAAATAAACCCTTTTGTTGTCAACTTGCTGTTGGTCATAGTGTTTCCTCACAGCAATAGCAACCCTGACTAAGACACTCTGCTTACCCTTTCCACTGTAAAGAGTCCCTGGTCTATAGATGTGGTGCAGTGGTAAAGTAGTTGCCTGGTGTGAGCAAGGCCGTGAGTTTAAGCTCTAGAACCGCCTCTGCCAACACACATACCCCACAAAAACCTGTTCTCAGCTGGGTGGTGGTGGTGCATGCCATTAATCCCAGCACTTGGGAGGCAGAGGCAGGCAGATCTCTGTGAGTTCTAGACCAGCCTGGTCTACAGAGAGAGTTCCAGGTTAGGCTCCAAAGCTATAGAGAAACTCTCTCTCAAAAAAACCGAAGA